GTTTTTTAACCTTAAACCACATAAACACATTTCATTACACCAAATACACAAAATAATGTTAGTTTTAGCAACGTCATATGACCCCTTTAAGACATCAAAGGCACATTTACAGCACAAAGATGTTGCATGTACAGCATAAAGACTGCTACTTTAATTGCATCTCAAATGGCAAGACAAACTCAAGCTGCTCAGAGATAAAGAAAATGAGACAGCTCTTTTCACAGACAGTATAACTCACCCTGACACGACTGCCGGAGAACATCGTGACAACCTTGAGCGACTGACTTTCTCACAAGAGGACAAAACAGAATATGACATATCTTTAGAATGGATTCTGAACAGATATAACTGCAGTCCTATAAGTTAAATTGAAATACATTAAATTATCATAGGCCTGATGAATAATGTTAACCTTTCAGTATATAATTAATAACCATTTCATGTTCACTCGTAAAATGTTTGTTTACTTTTCTCATTCTGGTTATATAACACTCTTTTTTAACATTTATCATATTTATCCTAAAAGAAAACTCAATACCTTAATTTCAAAAAAATGTAAAAAAAAATCTGTATTAAGTAATTAAAAATTAATTCCGTAATAATATATTTGTTTTATTATTATTATTATTATTATTATTATTATTATTATTATTATTATTATTATTACTATGTTTTGTTTTATTTAATTACATTTTATTTACATTTATTTAATTAATTTATGTATTTTATTTGTAACTTACATAATACTCTTTTTAGATATTCAACCTCAAAAATCAATATACTTATAATTAATTATTTAATTATATAATACTATTTATTATAATATTTAATCATATGAATTATATAATACTATTTTCTGCAATCATTATATATGTATTATTATTATTATTTGTGCCATCTGCATAATAGGTCTAAATCCTGTCTGCATGGGCAGACCATTAAACATTTATAAATACATTTTAAATATATAATAAAAATATAAAGAGTCATCCTCCATCTCATTTGTATATACATTAACATACTGTATTCTACATAAGTGAGTCATATTAATTTGCTAAATAATTGTATGGGCATTAAGTTGTCAGAAATCCTTTACAGTAAGTAGTATTAGAATGTTTATCCTGCTTAATAGTACAAGAAGTTGAGCTTTTCAAGTGATATTGATTATAGTTCTGAAGTCAAGATGAACTGAAGCATACCAGAACATTTACATTGTTCAGAATATCTATTGGTTTTATTAATTATTTTCAAACCTTCGCTTTATTCTAATGCACACTTGAAGTGTTAAACTTGTAAAAGCATAGTAGCAAAGGTCAAATCTTTATTGTCAGTTCAGCCTCAGTCTTGTGCAGAGAGCTTGTGCATGATCTATGCTGCTAAAATATTCCATTCACTTCTTCTCATTATAGACTTTGTCGTCTGAAAGACAGAAAACCCTCTACAGGAGTGAGCTTTTCATCTCTCAAGGACTAATCTTTGAACGGCACATGTGTGCATCTGCAATCTAATTTATCACTGCCTACCTGAAAGTGTCTAAAGACTTATGATCATGGAAGAGCACAGGTGTAACACACTGGCTCTCTGCTGGAGGGCAAGAGCGCTTGGAATTAAATGCAGCGCTATATGATACACCGCTCAGCTGCATCTGAAAACACCCTGGTCTGTTTTCAATTTAACTTGTTCACTGTGGGTACATTTAACTTAGGGCAATATTTTAAGGGTCACTTCATGCATTTTGATCAATTGGATTGCTGGGTGTGCGCATTTCACACTTGGCCACATAAATGCGTCTCCGTAAAATGGATCTGATCTAGTATTCCCATGCTTCAGCTCGCTCATTTTCTGAATGCAGAGCTTCCAAACTTCTGCATCCTGATGTTTCTTTGGAAGGAGCAAAGTTTATGTGGTGTAACCGTAAGTTTACAATCTTTAATCTCTATAGAAAAAATAGCTAAGCAAAAATTAAAGTTATCATTTAAAAGAACAGCATGTTACACTGTAAGTTACATGGAGAAAGCTTTGAATGGCTTGCTACTACTGCCTGAAAGATTCAAACTGAATGACATGTCAATTCAGGCCATTTGGCTAATTTGCTTGAGTAATCAGTTAAAAAGAATGATTCCTTTCCAAATTAGACATCGCTGTTTTTGATCATAAACAGCTGACAAATTTCCTACTTCTGAACACATTACTGTAAATCACACATCACTGTCACCAAAAGACGTCAACGATTTAACGAGAACATCTTGTGTTTTAATGCCAATTATGGCAAAAAAACAAAAGTCATGAACACAAAATTCTTGCATTTGCATAAAAAAAATGTTTTAATGTGAACGCGAGTATCTTTAGGGCCTTTCGCACCGCTTTAGTTCCAGAACTAAATGTACAGTATTAAAGTACTGCGACGATTTTTAAATCATGGCGGGTGAGGGCGTTTTCGTACGCGTTTGGCCAATCAATGTCTACTTACGTCATGATTAGTACCAGTTGTGCTGGTTAGACCCTGCTCCAGAGTAGGAGCTAATTTGGTTCTCGAAAAAGGCAGTCCGGTACTAAAATCGCACCTAGTTCCGGCGGTGCGAAAATGCCAAAAAGTGGGTAGTTCCACAATTAGTTCTGGTTCTATGAAAAGGTTCCCGCGGTGCGAAAGGCCCTTTTATATAACAGAACTGAACTTTATATAATGCTATACTAGTCATTCGCCACCATCTTTGTGAATTATGTACATAAATACTGTTTCTCGTTGAGGTTGGAGTTTATCAGACTGTTTCGCTGACCTGTTTGGGCAATTAATTAAAAATATATTTTTTTATTTGTTATTGTGTTTTTAGGCCAGTTATGGCCAAAATATAATTCATGAACACAAAATGCTCACATCTGCATTAAAAATGGTTTTCATTCAAATGCGAGTATCTTCACATAAACTTTTTGTCACGCTATACTTGTCAGTCGCCGCCATCTTTGTGAATTATGTAAATGCTACTTCTCGCTACATTTAGTGTTTATTGATCTTAGCATGAAGCTAAAAAAGCTAAGCATAAATGCTTAAGCAAAAAAAAAGACCACTGGAGTATAAAACGAATGATGAATAAAATCGTACAAATTCATAAGGATTCGAAAAATGTAAAATAGTTACAAATTGCCATGAGATTGTGTTGGTAAATCACTGAACAATTAATTTTAGCTCTATATTTCCATTTTCTTCATTTTCTGGTCAATGTGTAAATAAATTTATTAAATCACGTGTAAGTGCATTTTTCCGCAAAGTCTGCACTCTGGAAATGTCTTAAAATTTCTTTATAATGCATAATAACAGCCACAGAGGGATAAAAGGGTCAGCTATACTCATTTATAGAAACACTTCAGTTTAACCACATGAATGATTAATTATTTAAAAGGTACAGAGTTCAAAAGATACTGCAAAACAGGAGTGACCCTAAGATGCATGGTATACAGTATAAAGTGTGTAGTATACATTTGTCAGGTTACCAGAATCAAATAGCATAATTTGTTTACTGCATACTCATTATGGGTCTTCATTTACGCCTTCTTAAGCAGTCTTCAGTGCTCGCTCTAGTTGATTAAACCACACTATGATTGAAAATGAGCTGAAATTTGAAGTAATTTTGGGTTCATTTCATAAGCACAAATCAAACCGCCTCTCTTCCCACACACAAACACACAGACAGAGGGAGTGACAGCCTCGCTTCGGGTATTTGCTCCGTAAAATCTCAGCTGCCAATCCTCTGATATTGTTACATCAAGTTAAATAAGAAGATTAAAGTTACAAAGGAAAAGCTGTTTAAAAAGAAACCTGAAAGAGTCTAGGGAGTAAATAAAAAACAGAAAGCGTTTTTATAAAGCCCTCTGATGAATGTTAGCCAAACAGCGAGCCAGAATCAGAAAGGTAGGAAAATGGGTGCTGGGATCATAAATTCTCCCTCCTACCTGAAACACGCCTGGGTGTCAGCAGTAGAGTGTGGATATTCCTGGAGGCTGCAGCTGGCCTACATATGCTCAACGCCGTTTGATTTGTCCTCAGCAGTGGTTTTTCCTGACGCTGGAAAATTCCCATTTCCTCTGGACTGATCCAGGTGGTCTCAAGAGCTAAAGTGTTGTTTAGATAAAACTGCAAATGAGAAAACAGAAACCATGTCAGAATGATGAAAAACTATGGCATTCTTTACAGGTTTTGTGAGATTCACACACCAAAACTAAATATAATCAAATAGCATGAATGCTTCCTTTACCTTGTAGTCAGGCACACGTTTTTCCACCCAGCCCTTGCCGTAGTGTGGAGGCAGGACCGTCCGGTATACATGAGGAAACACTGGAAGTAGATCCACACTTGTAGAAGGTTGGAAACCCAACACATGAGGCCTGGAAGGCATCTCCCACTGGGACAGACAAGCAGAAGAGAAGAACAAATTACCACCGAGATCTATTCCGATCCATCTCATTAAGAAGAAGTGAAGAACTGAATCAGGCCTGGGTGGGATGGAAAGCTGTCAAAAAAGCATTTTAGTTACAGGGAATGTTTGGGAAAGTTATGGAAGTCTTTTTGGCATAACACCTGCTGTTCTTCAGCAGTTCCACCAACTGTAACAGGATAAATGATAAATTCCCAACTATCAACACAAAACATTAAATGTTTTTCCTCATAACACGGATGACAGCAGATATTTCTGGAACAGGGAAGGTTTAATTACTACAATTTTACATGATGACCACAATCACAGTCATGTCGGTAACCTTTTTGTATCTCATTCAATAACTACAGAGAAACCGCTTGTTAACGGATCTGTACTGTGAGATGGCTGCTGACTTCTTTTATTGGCACCAATGGTTCCATGAGGAACATTTAACATCCATGAAGCCTTTCCAATCCCCCAAAAAAAGGTTATTTATAGTGCATGGAAAAAAATTCTTAAAAGTTCAAAAAGGAATTATAAAAAGTTCTTCACAATTCACACACACACACACAAAACGTTTGGGAACTTTATTCTTAATAGTGCAAGACTATCTGTGTTTGGGTTCATTGATTCACCAGTGTAACCATTTTGGCTGCAGTGACCATCTTTTATTTTCAAGAATGTAAAAATGTGATGACCTGAACGCCATGTATTCAAGATTATCTTGATTGTTGGATGTTGTTGTTTTGGCTGTCCTTCAAACTCAGTATAAGCACACAACAAGTCAATATGAAATCAAAACTGGCCTTTTTAAACCCCATTCCTGATCCAAACCACCTTTCATACAGTACTTTAATATAATATTCAGTATCACATCATATTACAAGAACAAATGGGTTGTGGACATCATTACATGTTGACTTTGAAGCTAGGAAAGTTCTCTGCAGATTACGCTATATCCGTTTCTTCTGTGTTCAGCATAACATCCTGTTCTATCACGCTTGGTTCTGCGTCAATGCCTCTCTGCAGTAGCAGTCAATCAAAGGCTTCTGAAGGCTGTCTGCAACTCAAAGTCTCTGTTTAAATAATATACTCTTTCCTCCCACTGTCTCTGTCTCTCTCTCTCTCTCTGGTTCCAGTACAGTGCGACTGAGCTCATGCTTGCTGCCTCCTCTGAACGGCACTTTAATGATGTGAAAGCACAAAGTTCTCAATGCCAGGGATGTGGAGCAGTGGTGATCATGCCTCTGCCCGGCACACAGATTAAATGTCACGCTGAGTTTGAGTCGTGAGGGGGAAGCAACTGCAGATGTGAGGGTCATCTTGAGCACAGCACCTCTAGAGGAGCTGAAGGGAGGTAATGCATATAATTTAGATTTTCTGCTTTAACAGTGGCATCAGTTCTCCAAAAGTGATGTTGATAAAATGTTATCAACATCAGATATTGCCCTGCACATTTCAGTCCTTCCTGGCCATATTATTAGGCATATTCTAGCAGCTGCCAGTCCTTCAAATAAAATTGTTTCAAGATTTAATCAAGAACTTGAATCATTGTATTAGAAAGGCACCTTGACTTGACTAATTCATTATCACAGCAAGTCAAAATGCTCAGATGAAGAGTACTTTTTTTTTCTTTTTGTGCCAGTGATTTAAAACTGAACTTAGTGATGTGAACTAAACTTAGTTCTGTGGTTTACAATATATTTGCATTTACTGCACAAATGGTAGCTGCATATAATTTTAATACACAAAGTACTATAGGACCACTGGCTAATACCACAAAAAGCTAATATTTTTGACAAAAAAAAAAAAAAAAAACGACAAGCTGCGAGAAAACAAACACTCGAGTATTTTACAACACATGACGTCTGATAAGCAAAACAAGTCAGACAGCACTCCAGCGGCGAATTTTACCGAATGCACTTTCAATGCTTCAAATGTTCCGTGGGACACGAAATGTGCATTAGCCGTCTCCAGATGATTCAGCAGGCTTGTCAATACCCAAAAAAGCTAATATTTTTGAAAAAAAAAAAAAAAAAAAGATTAGTTGTAGGCAAAACATTACTCACCACATGCATACTATCATTTGCGGGGTATGACCTCTGACCTTTGGCCAAAAAGAGAACCATTTATGCTGCCTTTTATTGCCTCTCAAGTCGTATTTACAACTGGGAATCTCTGACATAATGTTAATATCCGAATTGGGCGAACCATACGCTTTTACTACAAGAACTATTGCTCTAGTGACTTAAGTTTTGTTAATTTTCCCCACAACATATACATTGATTTTTCTTGCCATTACAGTCATGTATACGTACTGTATATAAATAACCATTTGATGCATTTTGTTTGTATTTTACACAATGAAAACAGCACGTATTTGACCAAAACTTGATGACTAGATGACTATCTAGATGTGAATGTATACAATAGAGTGGGTAATGTTTGTATGTTTGTCAATGAATGAGATACTTTTTTTCAAAATCCATTGGATATTAAATATGTTTAATACAGTTTGGCTTTAATAAGATTTCCCCAAGAAATTGGCAAAAATGAACCTAGTGTCCTCCACGATTCCTATTCTTTCCAACAAGAAAGCACTTGAACACGCCAAACTCATAATTGCGACTTCAGAAGTGGGAAATAATAAATTTCAGACAGCATTAACAAAAAAAGATCAAAATTGAAGTTTTGTGGATTTCAGTATATGTTTGTTTCCTCTGAGATCTTCTAAATGCTCTCCTACAAGTTTTACACATGTAAAATGTATAGTCTTTTCTTTAAAAATCGACCACGACTCATCTTTTTCAACAGGGTATACATTTTCTTTATTTCTTTAGTTTGTGATAGCTTCTGGCTATTTTAAAAAAGTATGAGCCCTTCAGTTTTTTACCCCAGATTCCTGTTTCAATACGAAATCACACGTCATTACATCAACACAGGAAAGAAAATGGCACTTGGGGTGTTTAATGCATCAAGGTGATTTCTTAACGCCTTTAATGAGAGATCATGCAGTATTTGTTCTTTAGCAATTTCAATACTGACTACTGACATTCACTTATCCAAATAATCAACAGGGTATTGAGTAATAAGTTGAATAGTACTGTATCTAAACATTATGTTCAGATAAATTCTCTAGTAATAATTCATTTTCAGGACATTTGCAGCCAGAATTTAAATTAAAGGCATAAACTATATTATGGACACAATCTTATCCTTAAGGACAATTGTAAAGCATTGTAATGGCATTATGTAACTCCGTAGAGATATGTCCTAAAGCCTAACCCTACAGCACCAGAGTAAAAGTCAAAAACTTTTTTTTTTCTTTTCTTTTTTTTGGGGACAAAACTTTTCAACAAAGTCATAGTGAAAAGAAGCCCCTAGCAGTATGTTTTTTCATTTGATTTGGTAGAAGCAAATGTTCAGGATGCATGTGATTTATTAAACATACACTTTCATATTGTCATGCACACCATATCAAATATCTACATAAATTCTGAAATTCTCATTCAGATTAATAATAGAAGGCATAGTCTTTGAAAAGTAACGATGGTCTCCCAAAACATGGGGCACTGAACATCCAGTCTATATCTGTATCTGTAGATTGCTCTCTGTATTATCATATTCATTATAGTTGCTATATTTATCAATTCGATACCTTTTCAGAAATAGAGCCTTAATATAAACAGTAAGCAAACCAAAAGCAACTGTGGCAACAAGGAGATGAGAAAGAAACCTTTATGAAACAAGACTTGGTCCTTATATATTTCAGTACTGGATCATAAATTAATTCATTCATTAATTGCAAGAAATAGCTCTTTTAAACTATAAAATGTTCAGTAGAGAAAGTGGGGCTTTTTATTTACATGTGAAGCCCTGTTACCTGAACACTGGGCAGACTGAACTGACTGATGGTCGCGGGTTCCGCGGCGGCAGTGCGCATCACAGGCACAAACGGATCGCAGGACATCTGCCATCCCGAGACCGTCTGAATCACCGGAGGAGGGCGAGAGGAGATGAGCACCGGAGGAGCAGAACCCACCCTACACAGTCCGGAGGTGTTCGGGACCATCCAGAGCCACGGAGGAGCTTCGGCGCTCACGTGCCACAGCTGAGGCTGAGCTTTAACGCGCTGGACCGGGAAAGAAGGATGGATGGAGACTGAAGAAGCTGTCCGTGGAGTGACACTGGAAAAAAAAAAAAAAAGATAGATAGATAGCGCACATTTATCCGCACCCCAGCGTCTCCGATTGACACAAATAGATGGTTTTATCATGCTGGGCCACTGTCCGTACATATTCCGTAATTTATGTATGAATTAATTATTTAAATGCATGGCAAAAACTCAAAGAACCTCATAAGAGTATGTGTAAGCGATATGTGTTCTTTGGGTACAGACAATCTTGCTGTAAACATACACAACTCATTATGTTAAGGTACTTTGAGAATCAGAATATGAATAAAACATATGCCCGCTGAAACATAATAAACAGGCTCCCCCTCCCAAATTCTGCAGCACATGCATGCGCATGGACTAAAACAGGTGGATGCAACCCATTATCAAAAAAAGCTTTTCTGTGTAACTTAAATGGAAAAGTTATTCAGGCTCGTTCACTAAAACAAACCACAACAAGACTGCGCCTAGATGAAACTGCCAAAAATAATGAGTTTTTTTTATACTGCACTGTCCAAAAGTCTCTGAAAGTTTATGAATATTTTAGCGCATATTACAAAAGCACAACAATGCATAAACTATATAACCAGAACTCAAACATCACCACAAGACGACTCTTACATTAGCCTGTTTTCTCCACAGACAATCCTAAACCTTAAGCTGCTATCACGAGAATCAGAATCTGATAAAAAAGCCTATTGAAATATAATAAACAGGCTCCCCTCCCAAAATACTGCAGCACATGCATTGACTTAAACACATGCATTGACTTCTTATCAAGGGCTTTTCTGTGTAACTTAAACGGAAAAGTTAATTTTTTGTGTTTTATTTTTTTAAGATACACCAAATATTAGATGCAAACTCACCTATTGTATGAGGGGTTTGAAAAATCCCTTTATTTCAACATAATTTATGTGTCTGTTAGTGTTTCGTTGGAAATAAAGAAGTAACGCAAAATACAAACAGATAAATTAAAAATGAAACTGTATCTGCAGACGAAGATTTCTAAGAATATCCGGTAAGAATGGTGTCCAAAGTGTCCAAAGCGCAGATAATACACTGATCTCCGTGCGTGCGTTCACGCGCCGTGGATCGCGCTCTCCATATGCACGATCACACCGGGCGGGTTGTTCATCTCGCTCCGTGGGAATCTCGTGGAAATCTGTTCACTGTCAAGCTGACGATTCTTCAGCCTCCCGCAGTGGTGACTCGTAAAGCATCGCAAAATCATCCCTAATCACATTATAATCCTCTTTTTCTCATTCTTGCTTGTAGAACTTGTGTATGTTATGTAGAAAATCCTCGTGGATGAACAGATAACTGTGTTGCTGCTCTGTTGAAAGTCCTCCTGGCAGTCCAGACAGGGTGCATTCGCTTTCTGAGCGGATCTGATGGCGCTGTGCGCAGCACAACACAAAGTGCGTCAGGACGCACAAAGACGCACAACTCGCACTCTGATGAGCTTGGATGATTAGAATATTGTGACAACTGTTTTAATCTGTAACCAGTGACACGATTTACCTTGTTTAAAACCTACATGGGAGTTTATTTAACCCTCATGTTCTGTTTGGGGTCCCCATTTTTTTTTTTCATAACCTTTGACAAGAGTCAAAAATCTGAAAAGTGCTTGACATATAGAGGCTTTAACATTCAAATTAATTTTATACATATATATATATATATATATATATATATATATAAATAATCTGCCAGTTTGTGATTAGATCAGAACATTAAAATATATAATAATAATATATTAAAAAAAAAATAAACTTCAGTATTTTACTTGATTAAAATTGAAGAAAAAAAAACTCGCTAAACTTCTGAAATCAAATCATAGTTATTTATTTTAAATGATTAGAATATTGTGACAACTGTTTTAATCTGTAACCAGTGACACGATTTACCTTGTTTAAAACCTACATGGGAGTTTATTTAACCCTCATGTTCTGTTTGGGGTCCCCATTTTTTTTTTTCATAACCTTTGACAAGAGTCAAAAATCTGAAAAGTGCTTGACATATAGAGGCGCCCACAACTGAGTGTCTCCTGGTGAGTGGATCAACCATCCTGTGAATGTCATAAAATGCTCTGTGCAAACAAAAATGATACGTAAGTGGATTTGACATCCCAGTCTGAGTTTGGAGTCTGGTGACTGGTGTGAATGGTGTTGTGGCTCAGGGCTGGTGACTGGTTCCCACAAGGTAATCCATTATTTCCATTGTGTCCTTGAAGTATGCACATAACCCTAGGTTTCTCTAGATGGATTGTCCTTGTAAGTAAGCAAATAATAATAATAATAATAATAAAGCATTATCGGTGATCAATTAGATTGGCACAAGGTTTGCGATCGATTACTTGAGTCTTGTTGAACACTAGGGGCAGAACTCGCGGGGTTTGTTCATCCTACAGAAAGTTCGCGGTGGGAAAACTCGTCGAGTTAAAAGGAAAGGTCTAAACCAGGGGTGCCCAACCTCGGTCCTGGAGGGCCGGTGTCCTGCAGAGTTTAGCTCCAACCCCAATTAAACACACCTGAACCAGCTAATCAAGCTCTTAGTAGGCATACTAGAAACTTGAAGACAGGTGTGTTGAGGCAAGTTGGAGCTAAACTCTGCAGGACACCGGCCCTCCAGGACCGAGTTTGGGCACCCCTGGTCTAAACAGAACTGTTTTGCATGGAATAGTGACAAAGAAGCTAGAGAAATGATTTGAAGTCAGAAAAGATACATTCCTGCAGTACTGTTATCAATAACGCCACCTTGGATGTTTCCTGCAGTACTCATAGATTTTTATATACTGGAGTTAATGAAAGAACCTGAAAACATTGTAGCTGTTGTTGAAGATAGACTACAAACTGTATATCAAGTATTTGCTCCAGTATATACTGATGGATCTAAAGATCCTAATACAGGGAGAACAGGTTTTGCATTCAGTATTCCATCCTTAAACATTTCTGTTAATAGGAGAACATCAGATCATTTATCAGTATACACAGTAGAGATGATGGCAATAGCAACAGCACTACAGTGGATAGAGGAGACTCAAATCAAAAAGGTTATACTTTGTACAGATTCATTTTCGGCATTAAAGTCATTGCAATCATTCACATCTCATAGTAGGCAGGATATAGTAAATGAGATATATGAAAATCTGTATAGATTTAAGAATATGAACATCATGATAATATTTATGTGGATACCAGCTCATAAGGGGATAAAGGGTAATGAAAAGGTTGATGGATTAGCAAAACAAGCATTAGAATACGAGGAGATCATGAATATCTCACTTAGTAAATATGAAGCAAAAGCAGTAATTAAAGCATATACCACTAAGGAGTGGCAACATAAAGGAGATACAGGAAATACAGGACGTCAACTTTATGAAATACAGCAAGAAGTAGGAGTAGTGAGAATAATAAAATGAAGCACCAAAGAGGAAAATATTCTAACAAGATTAAGGGTTGGACGTACTATGCTGAATAAAACCTTAAAAATAATAAATAAACATCCAACAGGAGTTACGTGAGCACTGTGGAATGGAGGAATCAGTAGAACATGTTATTTGTGTTTGTCAAAAGTATACTAATGAATGAGAAACAATGAAGAATGAACTTAGAAAGATGGGAGTGGATAACCTAAAGCTTAAAAATACATTTACTTATGGACTAGAGAGTTTATTTTTGTAACTTAAGAGAACAGAGCTGATTAAGAGAATTTAGAGGGAAAATTTTTATTGGGGTAAAGAAGGTTTTTTATTTTTTATTTCTTAAAAAATTATTCTTGGCGATAATGCACCTTAACATTGGTGCTACCCGCCCCCCCCCCTTTTTTCAGGTAAAGGTTAATTATCTGTTAATACTGTGTGAAATAATGTTCTATGCTGTTTAATAGGATGTAGATGTAATTATGTTGATTACAGTAAGTGTTGTTCGTGATGTCTAAAAGCGTAAATATTTCAGAGATTATTGAGCTCAGAGCTGCATTTGGAGCATTAATGGCGCGAGGCCCAGATGTTGAATATTTAGTGTTCGGTATTTAGCATATATGTTTCTATTTTATGTTTAAATCTGTTTATTTAATGTTGATTATTTGACTGACTGGTAGATAGTGAATAGTAAGAAATGGACGTGGAATAAAGGAATTATAAAGAAAATTGAATATACATGCATTTTCCAGATAAAGATCATTACTTGAAATGAAGTATTTTCAGGTTTAGAATCGTTTTGTACTAGTTTATATGCACTGTTATTCAAAAATGTTTCTTATGCTCACTAAATTAGGCTGCATTTATTTGTTTAAAATAGCGCAGTAAAAACGGTAATATTGTGAAATATTACAATTTAAAATAGGTGTTTTCTGTTTGAATATATTTTAAAATACAATTTATTCATGTGATGAAAAGTTGTGACTTGACATTGAGGGAAGCCTTAGGCCAAGACTTCTTAATTTTCTCCAAGAAAAATCTTGATTTTCATAGCTGTGTGATCTCACACCTCAGGCTCTCCAGCATTTCTGTTTCATGTCCTTTTAAAAATGGATCTCTGCTTATAATTAGGGACTGTTGCCCCTTCTATTCGTCCTCCTAGATTGGTTTGAGAAAATAGCTGGATACCCGCTGCTGTCCGTGGCACAGAATATGGGCCTGCCAGTGCTGTGGCGATAGAGATTAGTTGACTGGGGCTGTTCTGTTGTGATATTCCAGTTTTGGGGTCTGCCGTAGGAGTTGTTTGGATCATCCGCTGCTATTTCTCTGAAGGGAAAATCTGGATGCAGAAATTAAATTTCCCAACCATTTCTGATTGGTTAAAACCTTACCCTCAATCACACAGTGTGTCTAATGCCTGACGCCGGTCTTACTTTAGATTCTGTGAGTGTGAGGAAAGCATGTCAGAATATTTTGAGCATTACAATAATATTCAGAAGTCAGGTGCCAC